CATGGTCGGGGGGGGGGAGGTGGGGGGTGGGTCTGCAGCGCGGGGCGCCCGCGGCGGGGGACGCCCCGAGGGAGGGGGGAAGGGGGAGGCTGTCTGGGGCGGGGGACGGCCCCGGGCGCTGCCCCGGGCGGCCGAGAGAGCTCCGGGGGTGGGGGAAGGCGAAGGGGGTACCCAGATGCAGCCCCCAAGCCCAGCCACTCCGCTCCGCGCCGGAATGCCGCCCGCCCGCCCGCCGCGACGCTTAAATAGCACCGCGAGCCTGGGGGGGCGTGGCCGTCCATTTAACTAAGCACCCAATCAAGGCATGGGGGTGGGACCCGAGGCGCCCCCACCTGCACAACCGGCAGCCCCGGAGCTCTAAGCCCCCTCGCCCCTCCCCGCTCCTCCCACCCCTCTCACCCCCCCAAAGCCAAAGCCTCGGAAAAGTGGGGGAGGGGTTGGGTGTGAGAATCGCGATCACTGTATAGAGGGGGTAGAATCCTTAGCGCTCATTTTAAGGAGAGGAGAGGGTCCTGGGGGGGTTTCCTTAAGGAGCGTAAGGGCTTGTGACATACTCTGAGGTGGGCGGGGGAGGGGGGAGACTTTAAAAAGAGAGATGCGACCAGAGAGTCACTTAAAGAAGAGGGTACCCTCAGTAAGAGGGGGAGGATCCTCAAGATGCGGGGACCTTTGATTTCCTTAGGGCCGGGTAGGGTGACGGACCTCCTTAAGGAGAGATGGAAGCCTAGAGAACCTTTATGAAAAAGTGGAGATTCCTGGAGGGAATCACATAAAGAACAGAAGGAACCTGAGAGTGTGTAAAGAGAAGGGGAGAGTTTAGGGTTCTCTGGGGTCTTCTTGGGCCTCGTGTCAGGGAGGGGCGATGTCTCTTCTTAGGGCAAGAGTAGCACTAGAAATCTTCCCTCCCTAAAGAGGAGTCACTGTACCTTCCCCAAAGGTCCTACGGCCCCAGGGGTCACCAGGATGTGTGTATGGTTTGGGGGAGGTTGGGCAGAAACTAGACCATCCCTCTGTCCTCCGGACTCCCAAGTTCTCTCTTTAGCTTTGTCAGGTCCTCCTTTAACTTCCAAAGGCTGGAGGAAGAGTCAATTGGCGCAAGCTGGGAGAAAAAGATATTCCTCCTGGCCTTGGCTAGAGGAATTTGGGGGGCCCCTGGAGATTAGCTGACCCAGCTCCATCCAGGCTCTATTTCCTCTGGCCTTCAAGCCAGGAATCCTGTGTTTTTGTCCTTCTTTGCTCTGCCACCAGTTCTCGTGTCATTAAGTCCCTTCCTTTTGGGGAGGGGGCCTCAATTTCCACCCCTGCACAATGAGATCTCTTCCTGCTGAGACATTCTTGGTGCTTGGTGAATCTATGCTCACTCCTGTGGCCCAGAGCCCTTTCCTGGCCTAGAACAGGGTTCTCTCTGCGACCAAGGAGACCCAGGATAACAGTTGCATACACTCCTCACCCCGTAGATATAGCTAGAGACTATTCAGGTGAGAAGGAAAGTCCCCTACCCTTCAATGGTCCAGATCTTCCTGCTGGTCATCAAATCTTTGAACTCAATATTATAGAAGTCTGTGGGACTAGGAAAAATTCATTCTGCCCCAGATGGAATCATCCCAGGGCAGCCCCCTCCTGCCCCTGTGCCCTGGGGTGGACCTCACCCTCCCACCAAGGGAAGGTTGAGCCACCTCACCCAAGGTTTGAGTCTCTTCTACTCATCCCTAAGTGTTATGTGGGAACTAGATTGAAAAAGAACTGGGAAACTCCTCGACCTGTGAGCCTGGGTCCCCTCAAGTCCAGCCTGCCGCCTCCTTTCCCATTTCAGCCCCTCCCCAAGCCTAGAAGGGGAAGAGGGAGGAGGGATCCCTATTCCTAAGCATTGGCCCATGTGGGAAAGGCATTTACAGGACCCAGGAGTTCTGCCCCCACCCACCCACCCAGGGAAAAGCAGAGTAGGAGAGGGAGGAGGAAACCCAGAGTGTTGCAAGAGTTGGCTGGGATGTGTCAGGGCCGTCCAGTTCTGCCCCTGTTTCCTCCTTCGGAGCGCCCCTCCCCGCCCCCGCAGGCACGGGCAAACTTTGTTACACCAGAATCAGGGCTGCTCGCAGTGGGGCCTGAGCTCGGGCCCAGCCAGCTGAGGTCTGGCTTGGGGACATTCTCAGGCACTGCCCCCGGGCCCCGGAGGAATGACTAATGTGTGACCGAATTGAGACACTTGGGAAACTCCAAGGTGGGGACTGGGGGGCAGGGGCTGAAACCGTTGGGTTTGGGAGCAGTCCTAGCGTCCACTGGGTGGGCAGGGCTGAGATCCCGAAGACTGAGGGCTGGACCTTAGACTGTAACTGAGGAAGAGGGTTAACATCCTTGTCCCTTATCCCTGGGTGCTTCTGGGCCCCCCGGCTCCTATCTCTCCCTCCCACTGCAGTCCCCAGGACGCTGGGACCATGACTTAGTATCAGCTGCTGCTGCCCCAGGACTGAGTGTCCCAGGCAATCAATCAGGATCCCTCTCCATCTCCCGATGCCCATCCCTGAATCTGGTGCTGTTGCCTCAGTTTCCCCACCAGTTGAGGGGAGGGTGGTGGGAGTCACAGGTGCCTCTGATATGGGGCATAACTGTGGTGGGGGTAGAATGTAAAGAGGGAGCGAAAGAGGGGGCAATAACCCCTTCCCCAGGGCCTCTTTCTTCCAACCTGTGTCTGTATCAGAGGCCCCAGCTCAGACAATGAGCCCATTGTTCTGGGACTCAGCGCCAGGGTCTGTTTCTGCCAGTGTGTATCTCTGAGTCTCTGTGTGTGAGTCTGCCTATGAGAGTGCCTCTGTGTCTGTCAGTAGGTGTGTGTGTGTGTGTGTGTGTGTGTGTGTCCCAAAGCAGAGCTCCGATGCTGTCCCTCCCTCTCTCACAAACTTTCTGTGGCTCCCCACTAGCTACAGAATAATCATCATCATTCCTTTCACTTCTAGAGTGACTTACGATTTCCTTGTCCCTGTTAGAAATCATGGCTCCTCCACACCCAATCAGATGGTTTCCCAAGATGCTGTAGCTCACTGGTGTTTCCTCCTCAACCTCTCCCCTCTCCAATCCATCCTTCTTCCTATGTGGGCCAAAGTGATTTTCCTAAATCACAGGTCTGCTCAAATCCCTTCTGAGGTCAGTAAACTCCAGAGGCTCTCTATTGCCCCAAGTATCAAGGAAGACTCCTTAGCATTTAAAGTAACCTGGCTCCAACCCACCTTTCCTACCTTCCGCCTCGTGCCCTCTTCAATCCAAGCCACCTGGCATCCTCACACAGGATGCTATTTCTAATCCTCCTCCCATCCCTGCCAAGCTGGGTATGTACTCTTTCCTCACTTCTTAAAAACCCTACACTTAGGGGCAGCTAGGTGGCATAGTGGACAGAACCCTGGAGTCAGGAGGACCTGAGTTCAAATCAACCTCAGATACACACTAGTTGTATGATCCTGGAAAAGTCACCTAACCCCAGTGTTCTCCCCCCATCAAAAAAAGTCCCACTCTCAGCTCAAGAACTGTGTCCTCCATGAAGCCTATCCCAGCAGCTAGTGTCCTTCATATCAGAATGGAAGCTCTTGGAGGCCAAGACCATTGGGGGGGGGCGTCTGTATCCCCAGTTCCCTGGGGCACTGTATCTGGTACACAGTGGGCACTTGATATATGTTTCTTGTTGATGATAATGGTGATGGCGATTATATATTCTTACAGATTATATGATTCTAATGATATATTCCTATAGAGAGAGCTTGAAGGATTCTATTCAGCTCAGGATAAATAAAGTACAAGTTCCTGAGCCTAACATTCAGGGCCTTCCACCATCTGAAGCCACAAAGGCATTTCCACTGACATCACCCCTTCCTCCCCTTGGGTCAGCCAATCAACAAGCCTGTATTGAGGGCCTACTCCGAGCTAGGCATTATGCTAGGTGCTGGGGGCATAAAGACAAAAAAGGTATCATCCCTGTGCTCAAAGAGTGTAATTACATTCTATAGGGAGAGATGACGTGGAAAACATATGCACACAGGTAAGAATGGAAGAAATAGAATATACAAGGTCATTTTTCTTGGGAAGGCATTAGCAGCCTTCTGGGGGATTCTGGGGAAATCCAGAAAGGTGTCATGTAGGAGATGGCATTTTTTGCTGAGCTTTGGAGGAAACCCGGGTTCCAAGAGGCAGAGATGAGGAGGGAGGGTGTTCCAGTCCTAAGGCACAGACAGGTGCAAAGTTCAAGAGACTAAGGAGATAGAGTGTTCAGTGTGAGGCCCATTGAGAAGGCTAATTTTATTGGACCATAGAGTGTGTAAGGAGAAATAAACTATACAAACCTTGGAAAGTTGAAGAGGGTATTGAATGGAAAACAGATGATGTTTGATTCTAAAGGTAATGGGAGCCCACTGGGGTATTAAGCAGAGGAGTGATGCAGCATGAGCTCTTCCCCATATTCCCAAGCTGTCCTTTCCTTTGTCACACATTCATACCTGTATTCCCTTTGCCTAAATATCCACCCAGATGAAATTATTTGAGGCTCAGGTCCAATGTCACCTCCAGGAAGCCTCCTTGGATTCTCCCAGCGAGAAGTGATTTCTCCCTGCTCTGAGCCCCCTCTCTCCCTTCTCCTGTTTGTGAGCACCACACCTTCTCTTAATATTTCACATACTCGTGTATGTGTCTCATCCCAGTAATTGGGGCATTCCCTGTGCCCTGGTGGTCGTGGCCTAGGCCCCTGCACACAGCAGGTACTCAGTGAAGGCTTGGTGGGTGGATTGAGAATTCCATTTGTGCTACTCTCTCCCTATGTTACCTGTGCCTAGTCCCTTGCCCACTCTGGGACTTTGTTTCCTCATTTATAAAAAGAGGGGTCTGGACTATGTAATCCCTAAAAGCTTCCACTTT